CTTTCAATGGGTCAATGCAATCAGCTGGTTTTCCTTAGGACCCTGTCACACCTTGCCGATTTAGCCGCATACGCTAAACTTTCTATGTATTTTTTCAGTTTTGGGCATACACATAACTTATCCATAACGAGTCCAAAGCATATGTGCATCGACACTCTAACTGCATAGCACACTGCAATGTAATGCCCATGAAATGATGCACAAGCCAGACCTGAGGGGGGCAACAATGCGCCTGGCCTGCATGAAAAGATTTATTTGATTGCTGTTCACCCCCGCCAAAAAAAAGAATAAATAAAAAGTAAAAACAAAAACAAAGAAAGAAAGAAGCTTTGCAGTTGCAGCAGTTTCAGAGTCATGTCTCCTAGGAAGTTTGTTGGTCGTGGGCATGAACACAGGCAGGATCCACCACACTCACCTTATCGCTCACCTTATGATACGGATGTTTCCTCTTGTCAACACCCTTTTTATAGCAAAACGCTGCTAATTCGCCATTAGGTGGTAGCTTACGTTTGAAACACGTTCAGCAGTCGTGTGGAACACGTCAAATACGTTGATATACAGGGCAGACCAAAAGTTTGGATGCACCTTCTCATTCAAAGAGTTTATTTTCATGACTATGAAAATTTAAAATTTACACTGAAGGCACATGTTAAAAATAACACATGTTAAATTGTATACTTAACAAAAAAGTTTGAAACAAATGAAAATATGTCTTATATTCTAGCTTCTTCAAAGTAGCCACCTATTGCTTTGATTAATGCTTCGCACACCCTTGGGATTCTCTTGATGAGCTTCAAGAGGTAGCCACCTGAAATGGTTTTCACTTCACAGGTGTCCCCTGTCAGGTTTTATAACTGGGATTTCTTGCCTTATAAATGCGGTTGGGACCATCAGTTCTGTTCTGCAGGTGGATACAGAGCTGATAGTCCTATTGAATAAACTGTTAGAACTTGTATTATGGCAAGACAAAAGCAGCTAAGTAAAGAAAAACTAGTGGTCATCATTACTTTAAGAAATGAAGGTCAGTTAGTCTGAAAAATTGATAAAACTGAGTGTACCCAAGTGCAGTCGAGAAACCACCAAGCGCTACAAAGAAAATGGCTAACATGAGGACTGCCCCAGGAAAGAAAGACCAAGAGTCACGTCTGCTGCGGAGCATAAGTTCATCTGAGTCACCAAACTCAGAAATCGCAGGTTAACAGCAGCTCAGATTAAAGATCAGATCAATGCCACACAGAGTTCTAGCAGCAGACACATCTCTAGAACATCAGTTAATAGGAGAGTGTGTGAATCAGGCCCTCATGGTAAAATAGCTGCTAGGAAACCACTGCTAAAGACAGGCAAAAAAGCAAAAGAGACTTGCTTGGGCTATAGAACAAGGAATGGACATTAGATCAGTGGAATTCTGTGCTTTGGTCTGATGAGTCCAAATTTGGTTCCAAATACTGTCTTTGTGCACCGCAGAACACATGAATGGATGGACTCTACATGCCTGGTTACGCGCCTGGTGTGAGGGATATATTCAAAATTGAGGGCATACTGAATCCGGAATGGCTACCATAGCGTCTTGCAGCAGCATGCTGTTCCATCCGGTTAGCGTTTAGTTGGACAATCATTTATTTTACAACAGGATAATGACCCCAAACACACCTCCAGGTTGTGTAAGGGAGTGCTGCAGCAGATGACCTGGCCTCACAATCACCAGACCTGAACCCAATTGCGATGGTTTGGAGTGAGCTGGACCGCAAAGTGAAGACAAAAGGGAACTCCTTCAAGACTGTTGGAAGACCATTTCAGGGGACTACGTCTTGAAGCTCATCAAGAGAATGCCAAGAGTGTGTGAAGCAGTAATCAAAGCAAAATGTGACTACTTTGAAGAACCTGGAATATAAGAAATATTTTCTGTTGTTTCACACTTTTTTGTTAAATATATAATAATGTGTTGATTCATTGTTTTGATGCCCTCAGTGTCAATCTTCAATTGTCATAGTCATGAAAATAAAGAAAACTCTTTGAATGAGAAGGTGTGTCCAAACTTTTGGTCTGTACTGTACGTTGGAGATAAGTTCTAGATAAGTTACGCATAAGTTATGCAAAGGTTACTGATAGATTTTGGATAAGGTAGACACCAGGACATATGAGTAACTTACTCTTAACGTATGCCAACAATCAAAACACTTACTTGTAACTTGTGTATATTCATGTAATGTACCTAACACCCAAAAGTCAACCAGACACAATCTATAACATTTAACAAATGTGTTAATATATTCGAAGTGAAAAGGAATCCAATCAGCAACGCGAACAGGAATTTCTGAGGAAGAGAGATCAGGTTAGGTGATGGGTTGGATTTCAATGGGAATTGAGCAAACAGAAATAAAAACAGAATCTGTGTGTTAACGATGACACTGATCTGTGGTTTCAAAAGAGGGCTCTTAATTATGCTTGGTTCAGTGGTGACAACACCGCTGACTTTTACAACGTTGAGGAAGAATGCGCTGCTCACAAGAACATATCCAGATAGAATAACAATCAGGAACTGACTTTGAGGCAGATTCTCCATCTTGGAATTCCAGGAGGAAAACAGAACTCACTAGTTGTGGAGCAGAAACAGGGTTTGCGCCAAAATTTTACAATCAGGTGTCCGAAGGAAAGGATCAAAAGTCAAGGGGAAAAAAACAGGTTGTTGACGAGAAATTAGAAAGCTCAGAGTATTTTGCAAGGGCAGGCAGGGAAGGCAAAGACGCTAGATGTCTACTCACTGTGAGGCTTTTGAATAATCTGGCAACAGCGACTGGTTAGCGGACTGGTTACACAGGGACAACAGGTAGAAAATATAAATGCTAAAGAGAGGAGGAGGAACTGCACAGGTGGAGTGAATGAGTAATTAGGGTGACAGGACCAGAGCTGAAGGTAAAAAAACAAAAAAACAAACAAAAAGAAAAAAGGTAGCACTGTTGCCAGAAACATAACATTTGTCGACAGAATTTATTTAGCTTTATTTGCCTTAATCTATCAAGAAAATGTTGCCCAGAAGGATGGCATGTATGTCCACAAAAAGCATTTTTGGTCATTGGGTTATTAGTTCGTTGTGAAATTGAATTAAGACTGATAACTTTAAAATATGATGCATAAAGATATAATAGAAAAAAACAAATACTGCTTTTTTACCTGGTGTTAGTTGTTTATTCAATAGCACTAGCTTCTTCTTTAATTGCTGAACAGGGCATGGGACTCATTGTGTGGGTGTGTATTGGGGGTGGGCAAACGTCATTTTGTACCTACAGGGGAATAAAGCCATAATGGACCTGGTGGCACATTGGCAATAGTTTCTCAGATAATAGTAGCTTTTGGAGTGCAGAATGTTCAATATATCCCTGTTGCTGTTACTAATCTTTTTAGATTTCTCACAAACATCAGAGCATCGCTCTGTAACACGCTATGCCAGATTTGTAGAGCTAATCAGCCTTCCAGCCAACAATGTATTCATGGCTGGCATAAGGGCTCTTAAAAATCTTTGGACTTACCTCAAGACAACTCTTTAGCATGTTTTTCTAAAATTGATAACAAAGGATCTCCTTCAGCACCTTGGATGTTACAGCAGTTTTAAACTCTTGGCAACTGCTGGCTGTTTTGATGATCAACTAAGCTCCTACAGGAGAAGGGCGAGCCTACGTTTGTGTTTATGCACTGCTACTGGGAAGAGTTGTCTGTGACAAGGGTTGCCAGGGTGTTGCCAAAGATAAAAAAGAAGAGAAATTGCAGTTGTTTCTAATTGATCTTCTCAGCTCCTCTAATCTCTTTTTCGTTTAGCTTGTTTGCTAATTTGGGCAATTGCTGTGTCCTTTCCTTCATCTTACGTACTGGAGGGGGCTGCACATATTTTCTCTTGATATGAAAAGTGTCTGATGTTGCACCAAGCTGACTATAGCCATTGGGTGGATACTTATCAGCACAGATACTTATCAGCTGCATTAGATAGGTAGAACAAATACTTAGACCATCGGTGGGTTCGGCTTGAAACATCCGCATTTTGGGAATCCTTTCAAACCTCCATAAGGCCATTCCAACCCTGTCTTCAAAGTTTCTACTCCTTGACTACTTGGTGCATGGGTATGAAGCATGGGTGTTTTAGTCGATGCTCACATTTAGTGCTTCAGGAAACAACACTGAAATTAGATGAGTGTAGGGACAGAAACAGAATATAATGTGATCTGGCATTAGTTAGAGAGGTTAATGAATGTATAAAACTTTAACCATGAACCCATACATTTCCTACATATTGTAATTTTCTGGCACTGGGGCAGACAGCATCTTTTGTGGGGCAGATCAACCCCCTTTGGATAATGATAGGGGAAATGCTGAACTTAGATAATCACACCTTAACAATCGCACATGCCTGTAACTGTCATAATATCACATTTTCAAGTGCTGACTCAAGATCCTCCAACAGATAGGTTGAATATATGCGCCATAAACAGGTTACTATTTTCAAAATAACAATTTCCACAGCAATGTATCGGCTGTCTGTCATGAAGCCATTTTTGGGTAATTTTACCTGCTAGAAGAATAATGGCCATTAGAAACCCAGAGCTTACAGTAGTTTACAACGATCTTAAAATAAATACCTTTTTAAAAATGTTTTTTTCTAATATTAATTGTATTAAAAGCTTGATTAATTTGGGAACAAACTTTGCCACAGCAGCAGGACAGATGCATAGAAAGATGAAGCTGGAACATTACTTCCTAAATATAAAGTAAATTTATAATTTTAAACCCATTTTCCATCTTATTTCTCTTCAAATTAAAGCAGTATTTATAGATTGATGTTAAGAAATGTTAAATACAGGGAGCTCACAAAGATGCACAAATTGAAAATGAGTAGCAGATACTGTAGTTCATGCAACTTGTCCAGTGTTTCTACTGAATAAATCGTAGTAAATCAACTTCAAACGATTACCACTAAGCAGATGGGAGTTAGAGGCACATGGTAGTCATCAGATATTTGAAACTGAATTTTAATCTCAGATTTCCCACAAATGAAAAAAAGAATTTACAGTCCTAACAGTGACTCTTTTACAACAACATAAATACTGTTTTGAAAAAAAACAAACTTCCCCCAAAATAAAAAAAAATTACTTTTTCATCAGCAATCTTTCCCTGTGAATAAGTAACAATTTTAATCAGTTCTTCTCAGTACTCAACAAGACAACATCAAAATAACAACAACCATTCCATCCGTGGGGCTCAGCTGCCTCACTAAGCAGACAGTTTCTAATAAAGTGTTTTTGTTTCCTTCATGTTTCTACTTATTTTAAAGTTCTAAGGTGTTAACAGTGCTCCGTTTGAGATCAAGAAAGAGTGTAGATTGTAGTAACAGTCTGTGTGTAAGGGAGAGGTGAGGATGGTGTTAGGGGCTAGTGCTCTGACCATCAGAAGAGGCTGGTCAGCGTTGTCTGTGATGGACTCCGGCACTCATGTACATCCATACCACCCGGCACCGATGTGAGTACAGAAGTGACAGTAGGCATGGTGGGGTTGGTCAAGTCTGTAAGTGTGGTGGGGGTACTAGATGGGCTCATGGAGGCATTGGAGATTTCAGATGCCGGACCTGAGGGCGTCCCCCCTTGTAACGTGGAGCCGTCTGATGCCTTGTCCACTCCAGTGCTCTCCTGCCGCAACAGGTTCCTCCTGAACTTGGCCCGAGCATTTTGGAACCAGACCTTCAGAAAGAAAGGAAGGAAAAAGTAAATCTTAAAGCAGGCCTACCTGTCATGACCTGACTCAAAGTTTTACCAAAAGAGGCATAGGCTCTAAACAACCTCCGCTTAGGCACCTCTCTAACACCTATCAAACATTCCTGAATTATTTAGCTTTCACAAATTAAATGTTTCAGCTAAAAATAATATCAGTATGGAAATATCAGATGCATTTCATTAACAACTAAATATGTGATGCTTTCATTATTATATATTCATAGCAACTGGAATGATCTTTTAAGTAGGAGGTGAATAGGCTCTTAATATTTAGTAAAGCAAATACAGAATTATTTAGTAAAATATCTGGAATATTATAGGCCTCAGTATGAAGCTTAATGTTTAATTTGACATACTTTGTCTATATTTTATAATAAAGTAAATCATTTCTGACTTGTGTTCTAGTGTTCACACGGTCATCAATAAACTATTAACATTTTAGATGACAAAAGGCAATCAACCTTTGAAAAAGCCTCATCATACTGACAGACAAAATATAAATGGTTCTATGCTTCGTGACAATACATTTCCTTTATTGGTACCTTCCTATCAGGACTACACTAAAAAGCTATTTGTTTTTAATGAATCTGCATGAACAAAGAATGTTATGATACATGCAGATATTTTTAATCAGGTCACTTTTGAATTAGAGAACTGTAAAAAACATGTGAACTGATCAACGCTGTGCTAAAATATGAACACGACTTATACCTTACCTCTACATGGGAAAAAAAAAAAAACATAAAAAGGGGCAATTGTGGTTTTCCAAAAGTATTGCTAAAATCTTGTTTGATTGGACATATCATTGTTCAGAATAAGATAAATCCTTTTGTATCAGAGACAGCATTTTTCTCAAAAACTAATTAAACCATTTAAGATTTTATAGTATTGATTAATTCTGACCTCAATGATCAATTGAGAACTATAATTGGATTACATTAAACTGTTCTTCTAACTATTGTAGGTGTTTCCAAGTTTTCCGACGGTATTTGGTTTATTAATATTTTTGAAATGAGTCCCAGGCCTTTGGTGTTAGAAGCTCCTAATCATCATTCTAATACTTAATTTTATCCACAGATTTTTTGTTAGAAAAGTCTGGACTCTTGGTGGACACAAAGCATTCATATTACTAGGAGTTGGAAAAATTTAATTCAAAGATTACTTCAACTTTACTTTCGACAAGGATGTCAATAATTGTCATCTAGATCAGTGGTCTTAAACATTTTTAAGTCCTTCGATTGTTGGTAGAGAGAGCAAAGAATCCAGAGGTTAGGAATGGGGGGATGTTGCAGTCTTTAACCGCTGGTTGAAAAGTGCTGACACATGTACTAATACCAGGCAGCAGTGAGTTGCTGACAACAGATACTAAACCTGATAAACTCAAAGGGTTTTGGAATTAATTTTCACCTAAAAATGCTACAAAAAGGTAAATCAAGAATAGTAACATATTTATCTATCAAATTAAATAGATAAGGGTGATTAATAATATAGCTACATAAAACAGAAAATGAAGGATAATTAACTAATCAATCAAAAAAATATGTGATATTTTTGTATTGGAACAGTTTTTTTTAAAACAGAGGAAAACAATACTATAAGGGGAATTCCAGTGTCGCAGAGTAACCAGACATGTTTCTTAATAGACAAAATGGTGCTGAAAGGAAATCTATATAATTGATGTTACATTTTAACATCATATCCCTGGGTTACATTGTATTAAGTATTACATCTCACAAACAACTAACTATTATTTTCATTTTAATTTTAATGTTTTTATTATTCCATACAATTCAACCTTCCTACACCCAGAAGGTCTTTGAATTTTCTTCCATTCATTTCTAAGGCCTCACCCTTAGCAGTACATAAATTTAAATTTGGATTCCAGAAGGAGCAATGGGGCCCTGGTGTCGTTTAAATTGGAAAAATGGGACCTTGCACTGTAAAAAATGCCAGAAAGGAAAATACAAAGAATCATACAAAAAAATTAAGCTATGACACAATCCCACCTGTCCTGCCTTGAAAAAAAAAACACAAAAAAAGGCATGACCAGTTAAAGGCTTTTAACCTCAGAATTTTATAAAATATCTGCTCTATGCAGCTCTGTTGAGGATTGCTTTGGATTAACTGGGGATTTATTAGGTCTCTTTGGGCTACTATTAAAGATGTCCACTTGAAAGGTTGGGAACGGCCTTCTGGAATCTGACTGTAAGGTTCATAGCAACGAATCATTTGCTTAGAGATAAAAGAAACTGAAAACAGCCTCTCCAGACACAAGACAGAAGAAAAAGTAACATCAGACTTTTTTGGTTCTACAATTGGTCACCCTGATAGGCACCGTTTGGAGAAAATAAAGCAGAGATGTGAAAAGCCTTAAGGCTCAGAGCTTGCATCAGAACTTTTCCCATTTTAAAAGCGATTTTCCTTAAGCTACAAAAAAACATGATAGATGATTATGCATTGCTTTCAACTGAGGGACAGTCTCTACGTAGAGACACACCTGTTAGGCACACAGATATGTGAAACAGAAAAGTCTCCATCATCTGGTTAAACTAAAAGCCTGGTTATAAAATTAAAAAGATAAAATGTTTGAATATGATGTCAGACCTAAAAAAAAAAAAAAGGATATCTGTACAGATTAAATAAATATTTATTTATTTATTTTTTTTTTGTTCCGCAAATGTTTCCCAAAACAAACCGGTCAACGTGATTGGCCGCTTTCAACTGCTCCAAAGGCCATGTATTTGTTACCTTGTTGGGATAGTGTAAGACCAATTTCCCAGGAATTATGCTACTTTGTGGGGACTGAAAGGTACCTATGGGGACCAGTTGTCATCTTGTGTTGGGGTTGGTTTTAGGACTAAAAATTGAATAGAACTGGGTTTAGTTGAGGGTAGGTATATGTTGGTAATGGTTAGGGTTAGAGTCTGTGTTGGGCTGTACTAACATATGTGAAATTCATTTAAGTGAGTTCAAAGTCCCTGTAAGGAAGGCGGGAAGTAACGTGTGTTGGTGTGTGTATGCAGAGATGTCTGTCTCTGGGATGATCTACAATTCTGTGCAGAGTGTATGCTGCCTCTTACAGCTCAACTGCCGATATGGCCACCAGCCCCTATCGATTCCTACTCCAACCTCTTCACTCTGAACAGGATTAGGCAGGTACAGAAAATGGATTGAAGGGATTTAGAAAGCTCCCTGGTAGATACCACAGCCTGCAACTCCGGCACAATCTCTTTACTGAGAACCTTACTTGACTGATTTTAGCAAAGACATGAAAACATGCAGAAAATAATGACCAGGCCCTGCTCTACTCCTTCCTTTGTTATTTCTTTTAGCTCGCCACCTTAGTTTTCTGGCTCATAGCTTTGCTTCCATCAGAAAGCTTTTTAACCTCTAAAGGAAAACTGAAAGAGCAGGAATAGGACAAACATGGCAAAGCATTTCACTGCAAAAATAACTTTCACTGATATGGGATACAGAGAGCAAAATCGAAAAGAAAGAAGAAAAATAATGGCCTAAACTGCAAACCTATCATGAGATTCATGTGCTGATGTTGGACTAATGTTCCTCAGATACTGCACACATCTTGCAAAAAAATGAAATAAAATAAAAACCCAAATCAAGAGGTTTGCATTACTTCAACAAACATGCTGAACAGGTAAGGACATTTTTACATGACTGATTCTACACATCGAAATCATTTCATTTCAGTTATTTATAAACCACTGTGCGCCTCTCAGGACACTTCCTTTATAAATACGTTTATAAAATAATGCTGCTTTTTTAACAAAAAAGCATTGAAAGCATGCATGTATGTATGATCTCCAGCAGAAGAAGTTTCCCCTTCCTGTTTGCATCCAACAATGTGCGTATCTATCTGTCTTGTAGAGCCTTTTTGCTGATGTTCTAACTGGGGTCTGGGATAGGAGGCATACTTAAATAACACAAAGATGTTGTGCTCTTTTTTCCTGTGCAAACATTATAAAAAGTCTTTAAGCTTCAATGGATCCGCAGAAAAATGAGACGCTTATTTTACAGTATCTTTCCAGTTTTTTTTTTTTTATTGTTGTCACACCGTCACAAGTTCAGAGCAACAAACTTAACTCTCTGCATTTAACCCATCCCCTTGGGGAGCAGCTGCCATTGTGCGGCGCCATGGGAACAGTGTGGAGTTAAGGTCCTTTTGCTCAGGGACCCAGATTGGAGGCTGGGTGAGCAGGACTCGAACTCAGAACCTCAGGATTCCAAGCTCAATACCTGAATCACTAGGCCACCACTTCCTCATTTTAAACTTGTACATAAAATTCCAGAGCCCATTGCTTCCTTTATTAATTGATTATGTCAGAAAATTCTAATTGACCCATCTGTGTGGCATAAGAGCAGCTATGACTTCGTCCTTTTTATTCTCATGTTTGCAATGCTGTTTTTTTTTTTAGCTCTCCAAGAAACAAGACTGGCCACCAGCTCAGCATTGAAACCAGCATCCAGTATCCATTGATTTTCCTTTCTAAAAATTAGCAACAATAATCGTAATAAAAAAGGTACTGTAGTGTGTATGAGTGAGTGGGACATTGTTAAGTGCTGAGCCAAGTGTTGAAGTATGTTAATGACAGAATCATGACTGAGCCATGGGAAACAAATAGCAGAAAAGACTCTTCAGCCAGAATAAAAGGAAAACACATCGAACCAAAATAACAACTTTGAGGCCTATAAGCTCTAATTAAGGCGGTAGGGCATAACTTTTCTCATTTTCCCTTTTTTGTTTTATCAACAGCTAGTTAGATAACATTAAATTAGTTTGGAAATGAAACACCCTGCTGTCATGTTATTCCATATAATAAAGATTGTTTTCTTCTTCCTCTTTCAGTCAACATCAGATCCTTTATTACAAACTGAGTTGCAGCAATGGGTGAATAAGTGTTTGTGAGGTTTTGTTAAAGAGAATACTTCCATTTGTTCATCCTATTTAATAAAATTGTTGATTTTTTTTTCCTATGATTTAATTTTCAGATAAAAATTACAATACTTGATTGAAGCTTGATTTATTATTTCTTTTATTTATTTATTATTATTTTCTTCAGAAAATTTTAGAAATGTGATACACAGCAATACTTATTTATTTAGAACTTATTTATTTATTGAGCTTTTGGAAAGAGGTTGTTTTGCTATGGAGACAGAAAACAGTTTGTATTAAACACTTATGGGCAGCTGCAGCTGAGCTGTAAAGTGATACTCTTCTAACCCTAAGTCTGCAGCCATGTTTATTTTGAAACTTTATTGAGCTATATTGGTCAATGTTTCAAATGATTAAGGTTAAGTCACACATTTTATATAAACCTAAGAGTGCTCAAGAAATAATGTGTAATTTTTCCAACTTGTTCCACCTTTCAGCAGTATGAAAATGAGCTCTGGATAGATTCCATTGATATTTATGCCCCCTTTTTGAAAGATTTTTTTTCATACTGATCATTTAAAAGAGTATTATTAATTTTTCTCTATGAGACTGCTCATTGGAAAAACAAGAAACAAAAACAATAAAACGGAACTACTTTTTCTTGTCATCAAACATCACTAAGGTGGGACAATTACACCAGAAAAATATAATATTATACTATAATGTTTATCTCATTTATTCCATCAGAATTTGGGTACAACTAAAAGTCAGGTATGTTATAGAATAATAACCAGTATTTGCTTTAACCACATTTAGGTATCATTACACCTCTTAATTTAGACATTTATTTTTCTTCCACCTCTTAATTATTTTACATTTTGTAGAAGAAAATGCTGTATTTTCAATATTTATTCAAGTAAAGAAAATTATTGATAGTATATGTTTTGTTGGGGGGGGGGATTTGTGGGTGAGTTACCCCATCATTTTACAATATTGCGTAAAAAAACATATGTTTAAAGAATCGTCCCGTATGAGTGTGAATCATTTCTAACCTAACTTGCTGGGACAACTCCTTTTTCTGTTTTTTAACACTAGGGAGGACCCTACATGTCAGAGGCTAAAAAGTTTACCTGTAAAACCCGCTTGGTGAGGCCTGTCTTCTGGGCAAGCTGCTTTAGGTCCTTGGCATCTGGATTGTGGTTAATAGCAAAGTAGGACTTCATGGTCCGCAGCTGATGGTGCTTAAAGGATGTTCGCATCCGCTTGGTCTTCTGACTGGAGCTGTATTGAGAGTCGCGGTCTATAGACTCAGCGTCGTTCTCGTTGCAGCTTAAAGCTGTGGGTAGGAAGGAAAGAGGGCAGGTTGAGACAGTAGAACAACATCATAATCGCTTTGGGGATCTTTTTCTGGCCACTGACTAACCCTAACTATATCAAACACCTTAATGTAATTAACATTTTATAGTAAATATTAAATATTATATATATATATATATTTGTGTTTTTGTGTGAGTGTTGGGTTGCGTGCACGGGTGTGTATGTGTAAATGGTGCCACTACAAGAAGAAATAATAAAAAAAAATGTGCTTTTATTATTCACACCATCCACTTCAAGTGTAAGTTTGATCCAACAAGTGCCCCTTCCAGCTTAAGTTCAAATCCCCTTCTTGCCACACTGATGTTTGCCTCCTATCTCTGGCTTCCCATCCAGGGAAGATGTGAAAAAGTAGCTTAGCCAAGCATGTGTGTGCTCCTAAACACACAGAAACCATTGAGACAACAGCACACATACAGTAAATTCATCCCAGCCTGCAAATTTCTTGGCAATATTTAAGGTGTTGCCGCATGTATAACAGTTCAGTATCGGAATGTTGTAAATGATGAATATGAAGTGAGCGAAAAGCACCAGAATAACACTTTACTTAATTAGCCCATACGCACCAGGCAGAACAAATGTTGTTTTCTGGCCAAAGCATATGCTTAGGCGCTTTAACAAACAAAACAGAACCAAAGAAAAGGAAAAACTGTAATCCTAATGCTGGTTTCCCTCTAACTTCAACAAACTGTGGAGACAAAGTTTCCTGATGGGGCCTGCTCAGGGGGTTACCCCATATCAGGGTTAATCAGGTTAAGCTTGGCTGTTGTTTTTGACTGGAAACAGTAGAGGGCGCACTTCTTCTTCTCTCTCATTGCTCTTCAGTCACCACCCTCTTAGAACAAGTTTGTTCCAAACTAAAACAAGTTTGATTTGTTGTTTAAGACTAGAGAAATGTTTGATTACCAGAAGACAAAGATTTGCAATAAAGCCAGAAACTGCTTATGAAGCAGGAGAAAAGTCTGAGCAATTGAAGCAGCTTTTCAACTTAAGCTGCAACTTTCCAAAAAAATGGATGAAAAGAGCCAAATTATAACAATAAACCCACCTCATTAATATTCTAACTTTGTCTTATGTAGCTTCAGATCTTCACATAAATTTTACTAATTTTCTGAAGTTATAGCAGTAAGCCTACAAAGCCAAAAAGGAAAACCAGAAAAAAATGCTGTTAGGAGGTTACCATGCTGTCTGCTCCCTCTTCCAGCGAATAACCCATCAAATCTCATCGATCTGGCAGCTACACTCCAATTCTGGCCTTGTCCCAATGCAAAGAGGCTCCAGAAGTGGATGTGTTTTGTGCGTGTGTTTGTGCTTAGGAAGGGTTTAGAAGAAGGGAGATTGTTTGGTTGTGTAGATTTGGAAAGAGCCTGACAAGTGAAAAAGGGCATTTGCAACAGCAGGAAGAAGAAAAAAAAAGGAATAAATTTCATGAAAATCCACAATCAAATGACGTGTATTTGTATCACAAATGTAAACTATAAGAAAATCAAAAATACACAACTTAAGTGGATGAAGCTGAACTTCAGTTGCAAAATGGGCATTTATTCTATTTTTTTTAAAGAAAAAATTGAATAAATATGTTTTTTTCTCCAAGAATATTGTTAAATCCTTTTTTTCTTTTAATTTTCTTTTTTTTTTCTATTTTTCATAGTAAAATTGTATCATTTTGCAACTTCTAAATGCAGAGTGATGGGTTAGACATGCACATGACTTTTAATGCATTCTTTGAAACTCTCATATAATCATTGCACATGGAAGTTATCCAAAGTAGAAGGATCTTTTGCTATTTCTAAATAAACTTTGAGATTTTACGAATTTGTTGAGAAACCATGTTTATATTTCTGTATAAGTGGCTTTGAAACAATGATAATCCCTTTGGAGAAAAAAAAATCCAGAAAACATTTTTGTAGTTAAAAAACGATATAATTACTATAGATTTCTACCAGACTATTATTATTATTATTATTATTATTGACGTTTTCTTGTTTTCCTATGTCAGGACTCAAGTTTTTAACCTTGATCGATCTCTAAAATCTAAACTTTGGTAAGAAGTAAGTAATTTCGTTAAAAAAATAAAAATAAAAAATCGTATTTGTATTTTCATATTTCTGAAGTAGCAAAACAGTCCATTCTCTCTTGCATTGCCGCACAAAGATTGTGCAGAATGGTTTCTTACCCGCATTGTAAGCAGCTAGCTCGGCCCCAGGCCCCGGACTCTTCCTCTTTCTGGGCCTGCCTTTTTGCACAGTGCCCACTCCGTTAAAGTAGGATAGTCCCAGCGCATTGGCCGGCCCAAGGCCCTTGTGCGCTACAATGTCCGCGTGGTTAAAGTGAGTCTGGTATTCTCCTTGTATCAGAGTCTCAAAGTGCAGGCGGCAGTACACCAGGCTGTCCTTCATGCCGAAGTGGTCCCCGGTGGTCAGCATCTTGCTGCAGGTGGTGCAGGTGAAGCAGTTCAGGTGATAGACCAGGTCTCTCGCGCGCATCACCATCTCCGAGGCCGAAATGCCCAGGTGGCAGCGCGCGCACCTCTGCACTGAAAATCTTCTGCGGACAAAACAGAGTCCATTAGCGGCAGAACCCCCATTCCATGTCAGGAGGAAATCGCCGCGGAAACAACTACTTCTTCAAAGTTAGAACCAAGTTAAATTACATATAACTTTATTTAAATCCACATTCCTTCATTATTCTCTCACTTTCCAAATTGAGTTGATCCTCTCATTAATAAAACCACGGATCCTTTTGACGTTTGATTGTTCTTTTAAAATGAAATCCTAACCTGATCTTTTTTGATAGGATTAATTTCTGAGACTAAGTAAATTTAAGAAGGGATTTAAAATAAGCGTTAATTTTAAAAAGACCTTTATAAAATGTTCAAAAGATTTTTGTCACCCAAGCTGCCTGTTCTCTTTAACAAAGCATTGAATACTTCGAAGTTGTTTATTTCATTGCTAGTATTTCGTAATATGATCACTTATCGCTTAAGACAGACGCAAAAATAATTATTTCACAAGATGACGGACTTAACTCATTGCAACCATCTTTTTCTGCAGTTGGCATCACATCTTCTACTGACTTTTCTTATATCGCGTTATGAAGGAGTGGGTTGAGCTAATCTGAAGCTTTGTTATTAGAAAGATCTGAACTAACATTAAACTCCAAATTCGGCTCTATAGAAACAAAGGTGAGTAAAGTAAAATATCAACATGATTTGTAGGTTTATACACAAATCAATGCAAAGTGCTTTACAGAAAACAGTTGGCAGATGTTTCCCTTATCAATTTAATGAATATGTAAAGCTTTAATGGGAGCAATTAGAGGAGTTTGTATAAGTGTACAAAAACTCATGCATTAAAATATTCCACTCTGCAGCAAGATTATGCGCCATTTAGGCACTAAATTGATTACAATTAACTTGAAAAAAAAAATAGGCACATGCAGCTTTGTAGAAGCTTTCTTCTTCGTATACTCAACGAACTTTATTTATTATCAACCCCCCATCTCTCCCCTCCTACCTATAGTAGTCTTCTTTGCAGTATATGCTGCCGTCCTTGCTGAAGCAGGTGAGTTCGGACTCCAGGTTGAGCTTGCATTCACAGCATTTGAGGCAGCGCATGTGCCACTGCTTGTCCACGGCCAGAAGGTAGTAACGGTCCGCAATCTTTCTGCCGCAGCCCGCGCACAGAGCCACGCGTTCGCTGGTCACGCAGGGCATGGCCTGCGAAGGCAACCATATAGAGGAAAAATACATAAATAATAGCAAGTTTAAATATTTACAACAGCTGAAATATTTGGAATAAAACGTATCCAAAATGTTTAACAAGGAGTGAGGATTTTGTCTGTTTCTAGATATCCAGACAATTACACATTTAACAGCAACTAACTGTTCCCGAAGACGTAAACCTCACTGGAGGGGGCGCGTTAATGTGAAATTATTAATAACACATAAATAATTGTTTTTGAGTTATTCTTAATAATAAACATACCTTTATACATTTGCAGAATTGCATATCTCCAATTTCCTTTTGTGTGCATTCACTCATATGTCTCTGGTTCTATTTAGAAATGTACAAAAACACTTTCTTCTTAAAAATACATGTCCGCTGGTTTATTAGAAGCTTTGGGATTTTGACCTTATTTTGCATGGATGCCTCTGAGATATTACACACGTCTAGGAACACATGCTTCTTTTCCAAATCTCCATAATTATTTAATGCGCAGCAAGATAATGGAAAAGTTTTTCCACCTTAAAAAAAATAATAATCAAATACTGAATAAGCACAACAGATAAAACTGCGATTTTTATTTGTTTGATTGTTTTGTTTGAAAAATATATTCATGTTTTATTTATATTAAGTGCATATTTAAATGATCACATTTTCATCCATTCTGTGATATGTTTTTGCATCAAATGCTGCAGTGAACAATTTCAAAATCACACTAAAATAAAGGTTTTAAAAAAGGTGATACTATTTTTTTCTTTTATATCTTGCCTGATTTCTTTTGACTTTATGCGCCAACTTAAAAATGACTACAGGATTTCACTACTGCGGTTTAATACAAGGGAATTTGATGGAAATTAAATTTCTCCTCGCTTGTTGATTACTTTTTTCTTTAAAGTTAATATAATTAAAAAGTAGTAAGCGGTATAGAGCTATCACATGTTTACAAGCGGCCATGCTGTTTACATCGTAGACAGAGAAGGCCAAAGAAAGAAGAAAAGAAGTCTCTTACCGTTTCGGATTCTCCCATGTCGATGGCCGAGCTGATGGCCGCCGACTCGCCCTTTCCTCTTCGCTCCATTTCTTCCACCACACCGTGGACATCGCCTCCGGGGAGGCCATGGAAAAGCATCGTTGCTGCAGAAGGGAGGATGTTGTAACTGTTCTCTTCGGATCTGCAAGCCAAGATGTCCATCAGAGGCACAGAGCCTGCGCCGGAACGCAGAGGCGACGCTCAGTTTTCGGGCTTTTCCTCGCTGCCGATGACAAGTTAAAAATCCAGTTCAGGAAAAAAAAAAAAAAAAATGAATGAAGAAAAAAATGAATACGTGTTCTCCTCACTACGTCTCATCTGCCAATGGTAACCATCATCCGAATCTCTGCAGTTCTCATTATTAATAAGCTCTAATTCATTTTTTATCACAAAATTTCTCTCAGTAGAAGGGTGTTTTTTTTTCTGTTTTTGTTTTTTTGTTGCTTTTTTTTTTGCTTTCACAATTTTCCTTTTCTAGATGATCTTATCCATTGGTGAATCATATCCGTCAGTTAACATACCAACTATTGAACGTCCAGTTGCAGGGCTCACAGCCTGCTCCTTGATGAGAGAAATTTTATAGGATGTCGGCTCTGTGAAAGGGTACTAGCAGATTGTTCTCTGCAACTATATCGCAAGAAGAAAAAAAAAATTATAACAATAAAAAAGTTTGAGATGAATTATTCTCCTCCTGTAGTGTAAGTTAAACTGAAAAAAAATAATAGTTAAAAAGACGCGGCCTTTGCGTTATTGTCCCGTATGATGTCTTTGGGCAGCACTTTCCGTTGCACAGCAGCCTGTTTAGTTCTTGTGGGCTTATGCCTGAAGATGCGTTGTGCGTAACGGCAGCGGAGGAGGAGAAACAGGATGGGGAGGAGGAGTTGGCTTCACGCTCACTGACTGTCCGCTGAACCCACAACTCCGGTCCTCCGTTTAAGGTCCCGGTTGGACCCTCCGCTCCTTATCTACGGGCCATCTTGCGTCATGACGCAGCGTTTGTGTTCATTGGTTCCACTACCTTCTCGGAACAGTTCAGTTGTGTATTTTCAGATAGAAGGAAGCAGGTCTGAGTGAGCGTTTGGCAGCAGCATCGGCTGCAGCGGTGCTCAGTGTCCGCAGCTGCGATTCGAATAGTCCGCCTCAGAAAAAGAAGGGGAGGTTGTGTTTGTGTGTGGGTGGTGGTGGGTATGCGCTCGCGCGCACTGAAACAGTCTGCTGGGACCTTTCCTCTTCCCAGCGCCTCTCCTCCACAGCCTCAAAGCGCCCTGTGCGCAACTTGTCCTCCATCTCAAAGGCCCATAATAATCTTGATGTCGTTCCTCATTTGCTTTTCAGTTTTGGAAAACATTTTAATTACGAAACATGTGAAGAAAGAACAACCAGATGATCGCGGATTTTTAAGACAAAACTTTTAGCAGATTCCTAAGAACAAACTTTTATCTTTATACTTTCGATGTATTCGCGTCGTCTGTCCTATTTTATTCAAGTTTTCCATCTTCAAAATGTAGATGTGGAGTTTCATTCAAGATTAAAATTTATTTGTGGAATATGTAGCCTGAATAACACACGTAGGTATAATCAATAAATGGAGCCATTGGTTCTATGATTTGGGAAAATTTGCCTTGCATTTAGAGTATGAACAGTGGTCACACATTTAATTAAAAAACAACATATTTTTAAAAAACCTTTTCTATTTTTCTCTTGGCAATGGTCATTTTCTCTCCAATCTTTACTTTCTTTCTCGGATTTTACGTCACTTCCCATTTGGATAAATTTTAAATGCTGCTTTTCTTCCTCAATGCTCACCTTTATTTACAATTTTTTCTTGGAAATGTAAAATATTATTTTAAAATAAACGAAATAGGAAAATTATGAAAAAAAAAACAAACCTTAATATTAGTTAGGGTAATTCTAAAAAGCCCAGCCTAGAATTGGCTTTTTATACTAATATATGTAAAAAAAAATAATTCACACATCATCCCGTTGTATTCGTTTTTTTCTCTGCCCATTTCTTTTCTATGTTATTATTTCATGTGCGTGTATGTGTATTTTACTCAGATGTGCGGAAATTTCCCAGTCAGCCAGTGACTGAAGATCATTTGTGGCCCAGGAGCCCGACTGGTTTGTCCCTGCAGCCCCAGATGGAGCGGAGAGTCTTGGTAACAGCAGCTGGGGCTGCATGAGAGACAGCGCTCAACTGATCCCGGATCCACTCGCTGTAATTAGCTCTCTGCTCTTAATTGGATATTTTGGACTTGGGGGGTGGGGTATGGGCGTGAGCCCGAGGGAGGAGGGGTGAGCTGAGGTGGACTTTGTCATCAGAGGACGTGTTTGAGGTTTGATCCTGCTCCAAAGACGGTTGGAGAGAATGACACGTTATCACATCTCTGCTGCGCGGCTGCTGGTGTTTAGAGAACGAGATGAAGCAGTAGATGAAGAGACTGAAATCCATACAGCTGTTCAATCTGCTGCTCAACCTGCTGACCTGTTCAGCCTGGCATCACAGTGAGGCGCTGAATTATACTATTTGTTCTCCATGTTCCTTTACAAAAAAAGACAACAATTAAGAGAAACTCTACCTGCACCCCCACCCCATTTGCTTCCCGCCACCCTCGTGTGCATAACAGCCACCGTTTAGGCTATTGTGAAGTTTTATAGCACAAATATTATGTTAAGCCCCTAAATCCTCATGCAAATCACCTCCCCTAATACCCTTAATTGAATACATGCATATTTATCATCTGCGTTTTCAACTCGCTATAAGGCTGGCTTTATACATAAACATAGCGGCAGTGGGCATGTCTGCAGGCGTGGAAGAAAGATGATTTTAGGCTTAGATTAAAAAAAAAAATAGAATAAAAAAGTGTTTGTATGGGTTCATTTGTAAAAATCTGCAATTTTTCCCTCAGAATGACTCGTCAGCCTTTCTGTAATTATCTCACTAACCTGAGCCAGAATAGCGCAAATCACTAATAACAGTGGTAGAACGCGACATGATGCGCTTATTTAAAAAGGGCCACATTAATGTTGTACACACACACATACCCCCCCCCCACACACACACACACACACACACGCAAAGACACACTCCACTGAATACTTTGCCTTTGTTAACCTGGGGAAAGCAGGGCCACATCTTCAGAGCTGATGCCAAATGGAGAGTAAAAAGACGGGTAGTCAGCACACTGCACCGCTATAAATGCCCGATCTGTCAGGCTGCAAGCACTCAATGCAGTGCTGAATAAAGGCCTCCCAATTAACCCTGGCAATATAAGTTTATATTAACTAACTTAAATAAACTCCTAGACAAACAGATTAAGCTACAGAGAGAATAAGATGAGCAAACTAAGCCACATTTAGAAGTAATATACTAACTTGCAAACCAGAAGCCTCCACCAAATTATTTATTCCACATAAATTTTAACTAAAACACATGTTAATCATATAGCAATGATAAAAAAAGACTATAAAATAAAAGGGGAAAAAATCCAACCAGTTTACCATATTTGCTAACTTCAATAAAAACAAACTCCTCATTTTACACCTTTTGATTTAGTTATGAGGGAAGATAAGCAAATACGTTTTTTTTAGTAATTAAATGACAAGAGAAAAAAGTTATAAACTTTTTGAATTTGTCTCATAAAATAGTGTGTATACCTTCTCTATGCTACTGCTAAGATTTGCCATTCACTGCCTACATCTGCCTCAAGTTCAAGCTCAGCTTGCTGCCAAGTTTGACTTTGTGCATTGGCTGATCTGTGAAAGATGAATAGGGCCTCCAACATCCTAAAACTAAGTTCTTAAATACAACATTCTAAAATAAAATTCTTAATGTTTACTATGCTAAAAAAAAAAAAAAAAAAAACTGTAAATCCTTAACATATTAATAACAATTTACTAGAGTAGTATTAATGTGTAAACTCTCAATAGTTTTTTTCAGTATTTTCTGATTAATATTGAATTATTGTGCTTTTTGCTCTGTTTCAACAGACTTTAATTTAACTTTAACATTCAAGTCTTCCTGACTTAACATCTATATTGCAATTAAGCCCAAAATTATTAATACACCTGCCTAATTTCCTACACGAACCCCATGAAAAGAATTTAAATCTGTCAGGAGTCTAAATATGTGAATATTTTAAATTAAATTGGCAACAGTGTCCTGTATCCTGTATGAAATAAAGACAAAATATTGCAAAGACAAGAGGTCCCTTATTTTGAGGGACTTATCTAAAGGAACTAATCTGGGAACATGTGGGCTACAGCTGCAAAATGAATCGTAACAACAGCAGTAAAATCAGAAAAAAGAACCCCGTACAAATGCTCAAATTTTAGATGGCAGTAACATGTCGTGTTGCTATCCAAGATGGATATATCAAATTAAATATCTATTGAAATGTTCAAATGTCTGAAATAACGCTGGAGGCAATAAGAGTCCCAAAATTGTATGAACAACACAATGGCCACACCACAAAAAAGAAAAAAGATATTGGAATAGTCTGATCAGGCTCCAGAACATATATAATCAATATATTTGTCGTTTTATCTAACTATGATGATTGGATTCAGCAAGCTTATAACTTTTCCTTCATTCATAAAAATTTAAGGGAAACAGAAATCGAGCTGCATAATTTAATGTTAAACAATGTAGAGAAAAGTGTTAGATTTAGAAGTTGCCTCCTGGTTAAAAAAAAACAGTGTAAACCAAATCCATGTAATATCAGTAGGGCAAAATTTGACTATAATCATCAATAGAAAACAACTTTATTACACGTCTCTTTCTTCCAAGTGCATCCTTATGCTTCCATCTTGTTTTTTTTCTATCCCATCAACACATCAAAAATAGACAGGTTTCTCAAAATAAGGGAACATATAGACAGCGACACAGTAGCTATCTCATCCTTAACTGTAATCTGTATCAACAGCTTGATTTAGGCTCTGCTCAATACAATCAAACACATTTTCAGCATTTTTTGATAATCTTTTAATACAGTAGGAGTTAGAATTGTCAATGCAATAATACTATGGCAGAAAACAGTATTTGATGTTTAATCTAAGTTTTTTGTTGACAGTTAATACTCATTGCGTGTGTGTGTGTGTGGGGGGGGGGGGGGGGGGGATATGTTTGTGTGTCGGTGAGCCTGCCTTGCTGTCAACAAACAGAATGCTGATGCAGCTTCTCTGATTACTCCTTGTCCCATAATGATTTCCATGCTGGACGCTCATCAATAACACAAATCTGCATTTCTCAGAAAAACATCTTCCTCGTCAGGCTCCTGGCATCTTTTTGATCTTTTGCAGCGTTTAATTGTATTCTCCATAAAGGTAGAGCATGGCTCTAATGTGATGCTGCTGTGTGGAGGTGGGGAGCGGGTTACACGGTCTCTTAGGAGAACTCGGCTTTAATTAAGAAAAGGAACAAAGCAGGGGAGAGTAAAAACACATGGAGAGTGTGTGTTGGTGTGCACGTGTGTCTGTATGGGGGGTCACCTCACCATTTTGTGTGCTACATTCATCTAAATGCTGCCACGTAAACACTGAGTTGGGATGCCCTGGAGAAGTTACATGTGTACAAACAGAGCTGTTCAGACAGCACACCTGAGCCTCACATATTAATCTAATCAACAGACTTCTTCAGGATGGGAGGAGACAGTCTTCACATAAGATATGACAGAACCATTACAGACAACTCAGTACAGGCAAAAGCATGTTTAAATCTTACCTCACAGGAATCAGGGTCCAGGATGTAGACACCAGGTAAAGATACATAGTCCATGGAAGAGAGGATAAGATTCTCTCTATCAGCTTGATGGAATAAAGACTTTTACTCAGGTATTAAGGCAACTTTGGTCTGCTGTATTAATTATTAGGAGTGAAAGAAAACCTTATGGGTTGCATATTTGAAATAGCCCAATATTTTTCAGCAGGGTTGTCCATTTATTGTCCACAGGTGATTCTTATCGGATAGAGTGTATTAGGCTATCGTGTAAATTTGAGTCCTTTTCAATTGATGCGAAACATCTTATTTTGAAGTCAGGAAGTAGTCGTTTGCTTAAACTTGTCATGTTGACAGCTAATTTGGTTCATTAGACCAAGTTGCAGAAGCACTGAAGAAGCATTTTTAAATGGCCTGTGTCATTATATGT